AGACATAGCGAGAATTCAAGGAATATTGTTATTTTTTTCGGAAAGTCCACCATAATTAAGTCACAGAAATCAGAAAAGCCGCTGTCAATCTCAAAGCATTTTGCAATCGTCTCCATCATTATACAAAAAAAAACTGAATTTTCTTGACAAATAGCAAGATTTACCGGTTTTTTTAGAGGCAACAGAGCCTACTTTTACAAAATATAGACGTCAGTTACCTTTAAAAAGTGCTCGATGAATCATCCAATGTTGTTAAGACCTTACGTTTTTTCAAAAAATTCGAGAACAATATCCTATTCAAATTTTTTGACGTGTATTTTTGAAAAAAAGCTAATTTATAACGGATACAGTTAAAAATGGGAGGAAATAAAACTTGAAAATTTACGAGCGCCTAATCTCCGCTTTTTTTTCTCATTTAGTGTTTATCTATGTTTATATTGCAAGAAAACATTTCTGCTGCAGAAGCAATAACCTCAAAGCGGAAATTGGATGCATTTGCAAGAAACTCTACGGTATCTCTTTTTTAAAATGTTCTATCATCATATATGATAATCAGCAAGGAGTTATTATATTTAGCAATGATTAGAAGCATTGTTGATGCGAGAATAATTTTTGAGCTAAAATATACTGTACTTCATTTGAAGACGGGGAAAAACATTAAAATTTTCAAATATATGACGTTTCTCCTGGAAAAAACCCGCCGTGGGAAAAACGTTTAAGTAATGGATAATAATTGACATAAATCAAGATTGATGTTTTACAATGCGCTTAGAGGAACGCGTCCGATCATTGCGAGAAGTTCTGGATGTGCCCAAGAATGAGCTGTCGATACTGTTGATGGGAGACACCCAGTACCATTATAAATGTGAACCGGCTAATATCGCTTGCAAAAGATCTTCAAAACGATGCAGAGAGAGCTACGGACTGGACTACGTAGGTATTTCTCACAATGTTTGGAAATTTCATTTTTCAAAACGATAATACAACTAGATCTAAAGAAAATACAAAAAGTTTGAACTGGAAAGGCTCTGATAGGGGCATTCAAAGAAACTGCAACTTTGGATCACTGTATCTAACTTGGTTTTAATTAACTGATAAAGGTAGCACTACATATTTTGTAATTTATGTATACAACCTGAATTTGAAATTGATCTGAAGATACAGGGCAAAGAGTTTAATTAATAACACTAAACGTTATGATTTGATTTTGTCAGCTTAAAGACGTTCACTACCATTAATTTCGTTTGTTGAATGTCGTAATGAGTTTCTCCGGCTATTGCTATAATATCATGAATCTTTTGCCAATAAATCTCCTTAATGAAACTGCATTCTTTCAATTTTACGTCATTAAACAACTTTCAGAGCACAAATGATGATAGTACTTAGCTCGCACTTTTGCGACTATGACTTTTAATTCTGGCGTTGCATAAAAGACGCTGAATGCTCAGTCAAGAAGAAGATTAAGATATAGAATTGTCAAATTAGATTAGAC